CCGCTTTTGCTGTCAGCATCGTTTATCTCTGCTATGCAAGCCGAAGCTCGTGAAGGAAAAGTTCCTTCTCCAGGAGTTACTAATTTACCTTTAAGTGGAGCCACGGGTTTTGGTCCTGCTTTTTCCGATCTTGGTCCTGCTGTTCCGGTTCCGGGCCCTGTTCCTGGTCCTGCTATTCCTGTCCCTGGTTCTGTTCGTGGTCCTGATGCTCCTATTCCTGGTGTTGCTGTTCCCAGTCCTGGTCCTTCTGGTCCCGGTCTTCGTGCTGCTGGTCATGGTCTTGGAGCTTCTTTTCCCAGTCCTGCTGTTTCCGGTGTTGGTCCTGCTATTCCTGGTCGTGGTCCTGCTGGTCCCGATCATGTTCCTGGTGCTATTCCCGGTCATGGTCCTGCTGATCCCGGTCTTGGTCCTGCCGGCCATGGTCTTGGTCCTGCTATTCCCGGTCATGGTCCTGCTGGTCCCGATCCTGCTTTTTCCGGTCTTGTTCCTGCTGTTCCCGGTGCTGGCCATTCTGTTGGTGGTGGAAGTGAACCTCCGGACTCTCGCTCTTTCGTTACTTCCTCAAGTCAAGGTGGCAATGAAAAAACAGCCCCGGTCAGTGTTTCATCCGATGAGCAGATTGCATCCTCAAAGGAAGTTTTGGCACAAAAAGAAACGGGGAGTCAGGACACCTCTTCGCCCGAAGGACAGCCAACGGTGTCATCCAACACTGAAAAGCAAGGAAACAATTCTGCCTCAGCAGGGGGTCACAGTCTTGGCCGCGACGCCGCGGGAGATGAACTTCAAGACTCTTTGGAAGAACAACAGAAAAATGACCATTCACAAACGAACGAGACAAAAAAATCATAAGGGGACCAAATTACAGAATCCCAAAGCAGTGGAGGAGCACTCTCGGAAGTATCCAACAAAACGACGCATGGGATAACAACTCAACAGCCAAAGACAAATTCAGCAAATGAGAAGAACTACAGTCAAAACACGGATGCATCCCACACCACCTCCCCACTTTTGCTATTTCTTGTTGCGTGTGCAGCTGCGGCTGCGGTGGTGGCCGCGTGAGAGTGAGGGAGAGAGAGCCGTGCACCGCCCGCACACACACTCGTCCTTCTCTCTGTGTGTGTCCCCCTGCATGGACTCTCGCCCTCGCCTCACCCCACGAGGCGCACACAATAATGTGCCCATTGTATATATGCATGCACACCCACGCAGGCCCGTTGGTGCTCTCTTTTGCACGACACGCACCGCTGCCGTCCTGCCTGGCTGCATGGGCGGAGCACCGTAACTGTTTCTGTTTTTTGTCCTCTTATGATTGTTTTAATTGTTTTTAATTTTTTTTTGCTGTTTGCTTTAAAATATTTTAAATATGTTTTTCTTGTTTTTTCTGGTTTTGCGAGTGTTTTTGTTTATTTTTTTTCATTTCTTTTTTCTGTTTGTTTTTTAATTTTTTCATCTCTCACTGCCCCATCTCTTCTTTTTGCTTTTGGGGCAGTCACTATGGACGCTTTTTTCTTTTCTACTCCTCCCTCTTTAATTGTTTGTTGCTGCACTCTTCCTGTGAGGGGTGCCGTGTGCTTCCGCCCAACTGCTCCACTCGCACACCCACCGACACGCTCACGACGACGGCCCTGTGCGCCTCGCCTGCTGCACGCATGAGGAGGGGCCGCGACGAACGGCGCGCTGAGGGAGCCGTGACGTGTGGGCGTGCGACGAGGGCCTGTGGGGCGGAGCACACATTTCTTTCCCTCTTGTTTTGTTTCCTTGCGGCCAGGGCGGGCAGACACCCGCAGCGCCACACACACAGCCACACCCTGCCGCCGTGTTTTTCTTTAAGGATTTGTTTTGCTTTGCGTGTTTATTTCATGCGGTGGCGCACCCTTCGGTGTCGGCCTCGTGAGCATTTCTCTCCCCTCCGATGATTTCTTTTCTTTTTCTGCGCTCACTCTCCCGATGGAGTGACGCGACTGCCGTCATGTCTGCGTGCTTCTCTCAGTCCCCACACACACGAGTGACTGTGCGCTGCGGGCCGCCCTCACGCGCCGATGAAAGGGCTGAGGGGAGCAGCAACGCGCAGATGACGCCGTGAAATATAAACGATGTGCGGACACACGGAGGGTCGGACGGTTGAAACACATTTAAATATCTTTTTAATTTTCTTTTCTGGGCAAAATATATGCAGACAGTTTGGTGGGGCCACACGGCAGCCAGGCGAATTTCCTTGTTTTCAAAATTGTGTGGAGCAGTAATGGACGACTTCTTTTCTAATATAATTATTTTGTGTGGTGGAGTTTGTATAGGATGAAGGGGAGCGTTTGCTTTGTTTCAAATAAATTTTGTCTGGTTTGCCGCTGCTTGGGCTGCAGTGCAGTCATGAGTTTGAGCGGTCTTGTTGTTGTTTTTTCCGCCGTGCACCTCCGCTGTGCTTTTTTTTGCGTCTCTCCGCATACTCCGCTCTCTTTTTTCTAATATTTTGCCTTGTGTTTCTGCAGGCACACACAGCCACACACTCACAAAAGATGCACATTGCAGTGGATTTGAATGCTTCCTTTGTGGTGCATGCTGGCAGCTACGTGTGGCTGCTGTCTTCTTCCGTGGCCGTGAAGAGCAGGGAGGAGAGAGGGAGTGCGCAGCCCGAGTCTCCTTTTCCGCGGGTGTGGTGCACCGCGTGTGACCGCATGGAGTGAGGCGCGGCATCCTGTTGAGGGCGGGATGGCAGTGTAAATTCATGTCGCCGCGTCGTGGATGGTTGGGGATCCGCTTCGATGTGTGGCTGGTGGTGTGGGTGTGGGCGCCTTGTGCTGGCTGCGGGGACGTGGCCATATCCGTTGGCTGTGAGAATGAGGTGGAGGAGGATGAGGTTGTGGATCTCTCCCTCTTGTCCATGGTGGGTGACTGCTGGCAGTGTGTGTGTGTGTGTGCGGCCTCGCAGTCTGTGGGCTGTGGCTGCCTCTTGCCATGCTGTGTGCTCTCTTTGCGCGTGTGTCCATGCTGCGCCTCCCTCTCCCTCTCCCTTTTGTTCTGTCTTTCACTTCCCCACTCCGTGTGCAGATCAGCGGACTGACCCCAGCAACACTAGGAAGGATGATGACTACTGCGATGACGGCGACTGCGCTGCGCCGTGAGGTGTGCGCCCTGTTGTCCCTCGCGCTGTTGTGCTGCTGCGCTTCTGTGTGCGTGGCGGCTGCGACGGGAACTATTATAAAAACAGAAAACTTATATTCTGGCGCGACTGCCGTGAACGTGTCAGTTGAGGTCTCGTGTGCGGACAGTAAAAAGACGTTGCAATGGCGCTTCCCCGGCCAGACAGAATGGACTAAGTGTTCATTCGCACAGGGTGCTCATGACTACGATGTTAATAAGGAGAACACTGGAAGCTACAATGTTGATAAGGAGAGCACTGGATACTACACTGTGGATACATCTGACAGTGGCGATGATGTTGTTATTCTTTTGGATACGGTAATTGAGGATTCCACCCGTGTCAGTGAGTCACTGTGCCTTTCGGCCGAACAGATGTACTCGGCTGCAAAATGTAATGAATCCTGCGCTTCATCTAATTCGGATACAACCGCGTTTACGATGGAATATTCGACGATCAAAGAAAGCGGTGTGTACAAGTGGCTGGAATATAATAAGCCTTCTAATCCTCCTAAAGACACTACTAGTAGCACCTCAGGCGTCTGTCCGTTAAAAACTACTGTTGAGGAGGCATCTGAGAAGGTCGACGGTGAATCTCAAGAGACCGCTGCAGTAACTTTGGCAGCACAAGTGACAGCAATGGAGGCACCCGCAGCGGGGCAGGCTGCAGGCAGTTCGAGTTCAGCTGCGAGTGGGGCCTCATCATCGGCACAGACTATTGAGCAGGGGATAACCCCAGCGGACCCACAAGCCGGTAGCACTTCGCAGCTGCCAACAGGCGAAGGGGTTGGCAGAACGGATGCATCCGGGACGGCGCAAACACCCTCAGCCACTCCCGCCAGCGGCAATGGTGGGGCCTCCGGTGCAGCCACGGCCGGTGCTGCCTCACAGTCCGGCAACCCGACACATACGAGGGAAGCCAACAACAGTGCCGCCACCGGAGCGCGGGATCCCGGCACGTCGGACAGCAGCGCCATCGCCACTGCGTGGGTGCAAACACCACTGCTGCTGCTGCTGCTGACCGCCCTTGCATTTGCCGCTGAGCAGCGGTGCGGAGCAGCCACACAAGAATGATGAAAGGTGCGACTCGTCCCCTGTATGTGTGTGTCTATTCTGCCTGACGCCCTGTGGGCAAATCCTGCACCTCAATTTAGGAAGTGTTTTTGCTATGTTCTGTTTTCCACTGTCTGGTTGCTGTACACCGTCGTGAATGACGTGTTCCCTCTTGTTTGCTTCTGCCACCCACACGCGGTGCCGGCCTCGCTGCTGTGCGTCCCACGGACCGCGCAAACGAGGAGTGGAGGAGCAGGCCGGATGCCGCATGGAATGTGAGGGTTGTTGTGTGGGCTGGTGGAGGAATGTAATCTTTTCTCATGCTTCATTGCTTATTTGTGTGCTGGCAATGTACGCCCACACCCATTCCCCTGTGTTTTGGGGACACGTGAAAACTTTTGCTGAGAAATGTTTCTTTTCTTCTTTCCCGCCTCCCGGGAGTTCTTCTGGACTCCCAACTTTCTTTTGTTTTCTTTTTAAATTTCCTGCCGCCTTTTTTATATTGTATTGCTTTTTTCTTCTTGCAAATCATTTCCCTTCTTTTGCTTGTTGCTTTAGGGGCAACCACCATGGACGGTTTTTCTTTTCTACTTCTTAATTGTTTCCTGCTGCACTCTTCCTGTGAGGGGTGCCGTGTGTTTCCGCCCAACGGCTCCACTCGCACACCCACCGACACGCTCACGACGACGGCCCTGTGCGCCTCGCCTGCTGCACGCATGAGGAGGGCGGTGACGTGTGGGCGTGCGACGAGGGCCTGTGGGGCGGAGCACACATTTCTTTCCCTCTTGTTTTGTTTGCTTGCGGCCAGGGCGGGCAGACACCCGCAGCGCCACACACGCAGCCACACCCTGCCGCTCTCCAAAGGAATTTTTTGTGCTTTGCGTGTTTATTTCACGCGCCGGCATTTCTTTCGGGGCCGGTCTTGTGAGCATTTCTTTCCCCCGATGCTTCGTTTTTTTTTGCTGCGCTCACTCTCCCGATGGAGAGACGCGAGTGCCGTCAGGTTTTTTCTTGCTTCTCTCGCCCCCACACACAAGAAGAGTGACTGTGCGCTGCGGGCCGCCCTCACGCGCCGATGAAAGGGCTGAGGGGAGCAGCAACACGCAGATGACGCCGTGAAATATAAACGATGTGCGGACACACGGAGGGTCGGACGGTTGAAACACATTTAAATATCTTTTTAATTTTCTTTTGTGGGCAAAATACATACAGACAGTTTGGTGTGGCCACACGGCAGCCAGGCGAATTTCCTTGTTTTCAAAATTGTGTGGAGCAGTAATGGACGACTTCTTTTCTAATATAATTATTTTGTGTGGTGGAGTTTGTATAGGATGAAGGGGAGCGTTTGCTTTGTTTCAAATAAATTTTGTCTGGTTTGCCGCTGCTTGGGCTGCAGTGCAGTCATGAGTTTGAGCGGTCTTGTTGTTGTTTTTTCCGCCGTGCACCTCCGCTGTGCTTTTTTTTGCGTCTCTCCGCATACTCCGCTCCCTTTTTTCTAATATTTTGCTTTGTGTTGCTCCAGGCACACACAGCCACACACTCACAAAAGATGCACATTGCAGTGGATTTGAATGCACCTTTTGTAGTGCATGCTGGCAGTTGCGATCTTTTGCTTCTGCTGCACTTCCGTGTGTGTGCTGCTGGGTGTCCTGGACGTGTTTCTGGTGATGCGGATGCGGTGGTTGTGCCGGTGGATGTGTCGTGTGCTCCGAGTGACGGCAGCCTGAGATACCGCGTGCATGTGTGTGTGTGGGCGTGGAAGAAGTGTTCCGCTGCCGGTGCTGAGGCTCAGTGTGAGAATTATAATTTCAGTGACTTTGATGTGCGCATGCATGGCAGGAATGGTGAGCTGGGTGCTGTGTGCCATTTGGCCAATGCGGTGCACACATGTAGCAACCGTGCTGCCAGCTGTGCAACGAAGGAGGAAGGGGCCACCGTTGCCTTCACGATGAATGTGACGACACATAAATACGCCGGTCCTTATGAATTGTTGTGGCGTCTATTTTCCCCCGATGGAACCATCCATCCGCCTGCACGGAGCGGCGATGCTGACCGGACGGGCATCTGTCAGTTGCCGCCACCCCGTGAAGGGAAGGACGACACAAAATCTGGTGATACAACTGTGCCGCAATTCAGTGCTGAGCCGTCACGTCAGAACGAGGGTGCACGACGTTCTGCGGCGGCTGACGCACCCCGTACCGTCGATCCGGCTCCCGCATCCAACACGGCGACCAACACGTCTAGGAAAAAGCCTCGCATTGCAAACGATCCGAAAGAAAACATGGCTCCAACACCGCCCAAGAGGAAGCCTAGCGTTGCCACAAGTCGGAACATAGAAATGGATCCGAATGCATTCGTGACGAGTGCTGCGCCCGCCACCGCGTTGAGGATGACAGTGGGCTCGAAGAATGCCCGTAAGAGTGAAGCCGTTGACGGCAGCGGGGAGCACGTTCCTGGGAAAATTGCGGGAGGAATGAATGGTCACAACGTCCCCGGAAAAACAAAACGGCATCAAGAAATGTGACGTTGCACGATCCGGAGCGGCGTGAGTCCAGACGGCCGCCTCGCCCTATTTGACGACGTGAAGTTGATACCACGCGATTCAACTGGCGACCGCACTGCGCGTGTGTGCGTGTCTCGGGCGTTGCCGCTGCTGCTGCTGGAACCGTGTGGAGTTGTGGTGGTCTTTTGAGCGAAAGAGGGTGGAATTGTGACTCCCCACGGGGGATATTTGCCGCATACTTTGCGCTTTTCATACCACTGTTATTTTTTTCTTTTTTGATGATTTACAGATCGCTTTTTAAACCTTTTTTTCTTCCTTGTAATTTTATTTTTGATGCTCTTTCCTCTGGAGTAATAAGTACCCTTTTTTCTTTTTATTATTTAATGTTCGGTTGATGTGCACTGGAGTGGGCGAAGTGTTTCCCTCTCTTGTGTGTTTGTTTTTTGTTGTTGCCCACACGCGGTGCCGGCTCCGCTGCCGTGCGTCCCACGGACTGCATGAACGG